TCCTTAAGGGCCCTCACAAACGAGCCCTTAAGGTTCACGGATTTGGTGGCCACCTTGTCGATGACGGCCACCGCCGCTTTCGCCCTCTCCTGCACGGACACGGGAGCCTGGGGGGCATTTCCCCCCACCGGCTCCCGAACCTTGAGCAGGAGATCCGCGATCTCCTCCTCCGCTACGGCCTCGCCGTCCACTCGCACGCTCCTGTAGGACTCCGCGTTTGAGAAGGCGGAGCCTGACGGGGTCGAGACCGAGGCCGGTTTACGCGCCCTCCCTCGGCGGCTGCTTGCCACCTTTGGTGGCATCATTTCGCCGGACGTGTCGGTTTCCACGTCCCCTGAGCGTCCGCGTTTCCGGCTGTCGCTCCGCTCCGCTTCCATGGCCTCCGCGCCATCCGACGAAGCGGCGGATCCGGAACGCAGCCGATCTGATGCTCTTCGGCTCCCAGAGACCAGCGTCAGACTGACTTCTGGGAGCCCCATCGAGATAGGCGTTCCCGACACCATCTCACCCTCAGTGGACGACCCATCCGCTCCACTATTCCTCTTCTCCTTTGCACCCTTCGTTGCAGAGTCCGTTTTGCTTGCCTGTTTTCGTTGTGTTTGTCCGATCGTTTTTTTAGGTTTTTGTTTACAGTTTCCATAGTAAATCCCACGAGTGGGGGAGAACTAAAGGTCCACCCGGGCAGAGATCCCCCATTACCCGGGAAAGCGTAAGTTTTTAACCCAACCGAGGGGTCCGCAGGTACCTCGGCTTGGAGTGCGCTCGCGACTGAACTTCCCATCAGCCATGCATCCCCTGGCCACGCACCAGAACACGGGATTCGGGGAATTTTTTAGAGAGGTTATCTTCCTCGCGGTCCGGGCGGTTAAGCCAAGACCCTCGCCCCCGATCAGAGCCGCGAGACTTAACCACAGCGCTCTTCTCGGGATTACGATATGCCGACGGTTGACAGGGAGACTACGTCCCCCTGCCTGCTCGGTGGTAGTGTGAGTACACGCCGAGCCCGTCCTCCTTTCTCCACCGCTGTCAGCGGAGAAAACTGTGGCCCCTACAGGGCCCCGCCATCCGGTTTTTTACCGAGGTTTCCTCCTCCATGCTCCGAAGAGCGAAGAGCCAGCAGGGCAACCGGCAGACACGCCCACCCTGCTGGACCAGGCCTTGCCCGAGAGCCGATGAACGGCTGCCTCTTCTGCTAGAATATTGGCCGCTGGCGATAATCCTCTCCTCCAAGAGGACAAGGAGGGAACAGTACCATCGCCAGCGTTTCCAGGGTGCACCACGAGGAGGTTTTCTAGCCCAGCACCCCACACAGACCCTATACCAACCCGTCTGACCAGCGTGGTATAGGAGGCCAAAACCTCCTTCCTTTTTTTTACGTTTGGAAACCCCCTCCCCACCAAGGTTTGCGGCGGGGTGGTGTGTCAGGAGAGGCCTATGTCCAACAGTGGACTGTTAAAGGTTATTGATGATGTGAATTGTTACATGACAAATCAAGATTTGGTGACAGTTGTACATACGATTTGAAGTAATAGTGTTGCTATGTAGGGCTTGTATTACTGATATTGATGGAATGATTTTCACAGCTATCTTGCTACACCTTCAGCGTACGTGTTGTCTCTAAAAGTTTGGAACGCTATCGGCAAGTTGATTTGACGGAATTATTCAATGTTAAAATATACGACAACATTTACAGTCGGTAGTCGGTATTATATTGCATATAGAAAAAAATTATCATGATCTCTAACAATCTAGCTACCGATAACTTACGAAGGCTCAACTATGATCCCAGATCCGTAGTCTTGATTTTCCGAAGTCAATCTGCGTATGAAAATGTAAATGTAATTCTAACTTTACCCCTAATCCTATCCTATAACCTTAATCGCAGAAATCTACTGTGGGTACATTAATAATTCTATACATTTTTGAAAGGAAACCCTGCAAGTATTCCTAGTAAATCATACAGTCATGTCCATACAAGGCAAGTCATGTCCACAATGTCCTGAATTTTCAGCTCCGTTTCATGGTATTCGCAACTACAGCAACAACCTTGCTGTTTTACTATATACTCAAGCGTTACACGTGTCGCTCTCGGCGCAACGACCTCTTTCGAACACTTCCGATTCGCATGCACAACTAGAGTATTTTGAAAGTCGAAGGTGATCAATCGTACGGAATCCAAACACGAAGCTATGTTACCAGAATAATTAATGTTTCTTTGTACTTTATTTTAATCAAACACTATTATTTAAGTACCAAACTGTTTTTGCATTTGTTTATTAATCTTGTGTAATATTTGTAATCTTCTTTATAAATATCTATGGTCATTAATAATACACAATAAGGGAGGTACTTCTATCGTAGTAACAATAATTCTGGGAAGATTCGGTGCAACGGATTTCTTCTTGAATAGGCGCCGCCCTACTAAAACTGCACTTTAGCCTAATACTTACGAGTAACTCAAAATTTAACGATGTTTAGAAAAACTTGCAATAGCAACATTTTCATATGAAGTACTAATAAATTTTATCACTGATGAACATCAATAGCACAAAACACTATTTGCAACCGAATATCATTCATTTGATTACACCTACGTACCTGCTTATCTGCACTTACAATATTATTATTTCTTCATCAAAAATTAAATGTCAACCGTTATGATTTGATGGTTTTTTTGTACTACAGTGACGCTTAGTTAATTCTCCTTTTATGGATAGTCTATCATTTATATAGACTATCCATACATATCGTTAATGTTCATGGAGTATAATTAGAATTTACTTCAATACACGAAGTTGCACACATCGGAAATTATTTTTTAAAGTTTACCTGTAAATGGTCACCTGTAATATTCCTATAAATTGTTTTGGAAACTGTTTTGTATAAGAAACTAAAAACTTTGGCGATAACTTTTTTAAGCCAGATACATACTTTGCCGTAGCCTTTGCTTACTAAGCTTTATAATTGCCGTATTTCTCTTTGAATTATATGGAAAGTTTCATCCAAATATAAACAGTGAAGATAGCCTTCGTACGGTTTCAATCGTGCATTAAATTAAAACACCATAATTATAAGGACTTTACATTCTATTCAAGTATCTAATTGAATAAAATGTAGAATAGAATAAAATTATTTATTTCGTTTAAACATGAGTGATACAGTACAATTGTAATTTAATTTTGGAAATGTAAAACATTTAGGTACGTTTTATACTAATACCCTATTATCTGTGTACCTATACCTAATGATGGTACACAATAGACATAGACACCAACCCCGGATCTAGTTGGACAAAAACCAGGCGGCAGTTTTAGGAGGTGTCAAAATCATAATTAAAATACGGTTTCAAGTAAAAATAAAACTTACTCGAAAAATTCGCTATGCAGCTCACGTTGTTAGGTATTTTGACGTTCTAATAAACAAATTGTCAAACTCCATACTTTTTAGAGGGTATTTTTGACATTTTTAAGATAATCAATCTAAATCAAAATATAATACCTATATAGCGTTACGTGTAAGCGTTTACCTATTTATTAAAAATAGACGGTTTTACTCACGTGTGTGTTGCGGAGATAATCGACTAGTCCGGGCCCTTTTACAGTAAGTAAAGCGTACCGTGATGGCATCAGACGTCACGCATGCCTTTACCTAGTCTCAAAGCATACCTAGGGGAAAAAATCAATGAGGAAACACCCAAAATTGACCGATCGACGATTGATCTTCGCACTGAAAATATAGTTTTTCAAAAATAAAAAATCTGTCATTTTATGCTTCAATTTACAAAATATTCTGGCAAAGATTTGCAACTTACTAATTTATTTTATTTTTTAGATAAATAATTAAGTTTATAAGTACTATACGGCTTGTCAAGACATATCTTAACCTACGAAAATCAATGACAAAATTCGTTCAATTAATTAAAAACGAATACAACGAGTGTATTACCTCTCCTTCGAAAACACAACGGAAAGGTTTTATTGGTGTAGGTACATGCAAATCTGAGTGTGGTGACCTACATTTGACACCGGGAGTGTCCGCTGCGCAGCTGTAACCTAAACGTCACAATGGCAGAAACACCGGTTTGATTAAAACTGTTAATAAACCTCATAGGTTACCATAATATTATTTACAGTTATTTCGATTCGTGGTACAATACCGTGGTACCTAAACTTTCTTTAACTGTTGCTTTCCTGAACGGAAATAATTATTTGCCCTTGTGGAAATCCCACCGATCGCCATTCGTAACCCATTGAAACAGAGGTTTTTTGAGTGTAAAAACCGCAAACTGTGTCTGCCTTGCATGCCTGCTACTAGATTTATGGCATATAAAACTCTCATATTTATAAAAGGGGAGGGAAACAATCCTGCATGGAAATGGACAAACACATAGCTTGCTATCATTCCGTTCAATCCTAAAAGTTAGTAATAGTGAGAAACTCACAATTGTTTTATCACAAACCGTACGGAAAATAAACTGGTCACCAATTGGCCAACAAACCTATTGAGAATTAATAGAGAATTGACCTTTAAGGCACATTATTTTACAGGAAATCACTGTACCAGCAGTTTAACAATCAAACTATATGTATTAATCGTACTTCAAGCCAAAACATTTATGTACCTACACACTTCCTATCTTGCGATTCGAGGTTGGCAGATATAAAAAAACGATGATGGTCATAGCATAGTTTAACACGAAACACAAAACTGTAAACAACGGAATGTGTAATGTCCGTGAATGCCACTTCTAAAGGCACATTTCAAAAGATCAGTTTGCAATGAAAATTTCGTCGCGACACAAATGTCGTAAGTAGGTACATACTTAAAATTTGCCTACACACCAATTCGGGTCGCTTGAACTTTTAAAAGACTTATACAACGGCCATTTGTTTTAATGAATTCTTAAATCGCTGAATATTTACCAGTAATTAATTTCTAGTCAATCGTCGAAAACGTTCTCGCATTCCTTTATGAGCTGCTAAGGTCATTTGTCCTCAAGTTTATTGAGGTCTGCCAATGCCATGTGCGTGTAAGTTAACTGCACGGCGAAATAACGGGACCATACCACATTGACGACTTGAACTAGAACCAGTAGTTTCTGCAACGTGTTCATTTAGTCGCCAACAACTGGCGTTAGAACTGAAAGTTTAAGAATCATCTACTTTATGATTAAAAATAACTAAGAAGTGTACAGTAGGTATATTAAGTATTTACTGTGGGGTTAATTTGACACCGTATTTAAAATAACGTATCTATTCTTTAAGTATACCTATACTGCTACTGTCGCTGTTCATGCGTGTCTAATGATTACTCCTAAATCATTTGTTTAAAATGATTTTCTTCCATATTTCTGGAGTTATGGCTCTGTAGTGACTATTCAAGAAATCACCATAAAAGTTAAGTTTTTAATAGTGAATATTTCCCAATCATAAAACTTGTACGAACTAAGCATTCGCCAACCCTATTTGGTATCGACCAAATTTGTTGCAACACATATTGTAATTCTGTTAAACAACAACATATAAAGAAAAAATAAACAAAATCCTTCATCACGTCAATTAAGGAAAATTCAAAGCAAACAACTATTTATCATCAAATTAATCAGCATTGCGGTCAACTGCTACACAGTTGAAGAACTTCACACACATGCACGTATTACCTACACCCTATATCATTTTAATACAATACCTTATGCACACATATGTAATACTAGCGCAGAAATACGACATAAACGCTGTATTTGTATGCGTGGAACATACACACATACGTGACGCAGTCGAAGACTTTGTTTTGCTGTTGAGATTCGCGCGTGCAGTTGCGCAAGCGCTCGTTGGAGGCCATTGACTCGTACGTGGCGGCCATGTTGAGGCGAAGCGCGGGCGCGGTAGTGAAGCGCGAATCCAGCGACTTCTGTTCCGTACGATGTCGTAATCACGTGTTTACGCCTGAACGACGCCAAAACTGTCGCCATTTGCTAGATAACATACCATTCCAGCTGGGAAATCACAATAAATTAAAAATATAACTTCGTCTTAGCAGGCAGCAGTAGGACATTCCCAAACATTTACTTACCTAATTACTTACCTACCAAATCTCTTGTTCATAACTCTATTGTACGAAAAATTTACCTATTTTCGGCGATTGACTAATAGGTAAGTACCTACCTACCTATTAGTCAAGCGCCGAAAAAATATTTTTAGTTGTTGCAAAATCTAGTTGCATATCTGTATCATCTGCCTGAGCTCATCAAATGCCCAGTCAACCTTAGGAACAAGATGCAGAACCGATAGGTATTTATTTTACTCATGTAGGTACATTTCTGTTAACATTCTCAATATGGAAATAACGATTACCCTGGGCTCTAATTGTTATTTAAATGCATGTCTTGTCTAACAAAAAGCTATTACGATCAATTTACTGAAGTTAAAATGCGCCAAAACTTCAAATTTATCGAAATTTCTACCGCCGGTAACAGTAACTCAAACATGTAATTTAATAATCTGTGTCGCATTGATTAAGCTGGTTTTCAAGGCGATTTATAGCACAACTCTGAACAATCAATGATGTACTTTGGTACGAAAGGAAAAATTCGACCCAAATTGATGGTTACATTATTGATTTTAACGTTGGAAAAAACGTAAATTGTTCGAACGAAGACAGAACTTATTTAACCGGGTGTACGTTGCGCAAGAATATTCGCGAACAGATAATGTAGTAAGTATGTATAGCGATGCCCCTCCGTCCTCCGTCCTCGCAGAATCCGGTGTTGTACACACGTCTCGCTTACTCCCGCGTTAATACGTTATTTCTGTCTCGTAGCACTATGACATAGATACCAGGCGAGTTGCGAAACAGCGCGGATTATATAGCAGGTGGATTGTGCCGTAAACGAGTTTAAGTAACTGCTTTCACGTCTTTCCATACATAAACACTAAGCAATCTATTTTCGACATATAAATTATATATATTCAATGCTGCCACCGCCCCTCAACTACTACAGTCAACTAAAATCCTTCATAAAGCTGCACACAACGGTATAAAAAGGCAAAACTTAATCCTTAAAACGGTAGCAGGTTTGTATTTATTCAAAATAATGGTATTCGCAAATTAGAAACATCTATTAGGTACAGCCGAATCATTGTATTAAATAAATCTCAACTAGGTCATCTTGATTATATAGCTCCCGACTCTTTATTCAATGCCTATTGTTACTACCAGGCAAACATAAGCTAAAACAGTTCAAAGTCTACACAGTAATGATAATAGGTAGGTAATTGTAGCCACGATAATCGTATCGTAAACACTCAGTACAGTTTTTCCTTATCAGCTTAAAGAATTTAGCCTACGCGAACCGGATTTGCAAAGCAGATTGCAAATAGTGCTATCGGGGGCGGAGTCCGCGACATCCAATGCAAGGGCCTGCAAAACGCATGCGCCATGCTTAAATTACTTGCTGTTTACAGTGGGCACCAGATGCGTGCGTTTTGATTCCCATTTATTCGTGGCGACACGCCACCGATAGCCGCCGATAAGATAAGAATAATCGATATTTTCGCGCGATTTGCTGCCCACAGCACGAAAGGTCACTCACGTTGCGAAATAATGTTAAGAACGGAATAGTTATGAACATTCGAAATGTTATCACGGATACCAAATTGTTACTGTTTCGTGATTGCTTTCTCAGTAACGAGGTTGCTATGTCTACAGCAAACATCCAAAGCTACCATATCGCATGAATCGCAGACATACAGACAGCACAAATACTAATTATTTTATTTAAGTATTGTTAAGGAACACGATAAGATAATAAAAAAACGATAATTATCTAGTTATAGAATTTAAAATTTACCAAAAATAAAAAAGGCGTTATATAAATAAATAAATTCTATAATTATTATTGGAAAGGGTAACCAAAGTAAAGGTGCCTAATCATATAAATCACAATAAATTAGTAGAACCTCATCCGCGCCTCACGTTTTACAAACAATGTATGTTTTAACTCAGTTTATAGACATAACTCAGAAGAGAAATGGACCTATAGTTTTCAAAAAGGTGTTGTTTTGAAGAAAAGCACTACCATGCCTGAGGCGGCTGCCCCTCGAGTCTGACGGAATTGAATATCTTCTGAAGGACTTTTAGAACTTGCTTTCCATCTGACTTCAAGAGCTCAGCCGTAATTCCGCCTTCACGCAGTGTTTTGTTGTTTTTACCATTTTGAGAGCCACGCTAGCCTCGTGGAGACTGACGTCCGGTAGGTATACTTATCTCCGGCCGGAGGGGTGTCGTCTAAGGCGAGGCGCTGTTGCGCCTCTTGCTGTGTGGAGATGTGAGGGGCGCGGCAGCATCCCGCCCCGGTGGTGATTATGGTCCCCCGTGATATGCCTCAGTCATGGGGTATAGCAGGGAGGACTCCAGAAGCCACCGATGCATTCCTTCAGCTCCTTCCTACTGCCGAGGAAGGCCGCCGAGGGGTTTAGTTAGTAGACCGGTTCTCATAGAGTCTCACACGCGCCCTTAGTTTCCCCAACGGAGGGTATGGTGTAAAAAGCATTCTCCGTGTTAAAAAAAGAAAAGGTACATCTTTTGTGTAGTGTCAACTTAGCCCGTTAACATTATCTCTCACTATCTATTTTTCCAAGCATACTTCATCAGTGATGTATTATAAAAACATTATATCCACGTAAACATGTAATTACCATAATTTTAAAAAACCTTATCCTTCAATAATGTATTTTATGGGGACAGGAAAATGCTGCGACAATTTCCTTTTTACCTAGTTTGCAGCGCTTACAGTACATATTCAACATTTTACAATGTTTAATATGTACTAAAGTATGTACTTATCTTGCAAATAATTACCAATTACAAAATAAATACTATCAATGCAAAGAGCTCAGCGTCCTAAGAGTGATAAATCAGATGTAACGTACACACATTTTACAGCGTTTTGACTGAGTTCGGTCTGGTACATGGTAGACAACCTTTACTAATGTAGTGTAGGTATTATGTAAGTTACATATAGATAAGGGCCGAATAATTAAGGTTTTACAAATAATAGGTCCACGAAGGACGACTCAGAGGCACTTACTTGCCTTAAATCCATTAGTACACAATCGTTGTACAGTTTTCAGGTACTGTTTAGACTGATTTAAAAAAAAACCTAGTCCTGTGGCACCGACATTGAGTGGTGAAAAGTTGTGAAATGTTTGGTCTGAAAAATGGCTTTTTGCGTTCTGAGCCTATCTTTGTGTGTGCGGTATTTCAATGCACACGCATATTATCACCAGAAAATAGACACGTATAATGTCCAAGTATACAAACGTTTTCTTTGTATTAAAGTCCCAGTGGTAGTAGTAGTGGTCTTCCAGTGGTAGCACCTATTTCAAAGCGATGCTAAAATTCAACATAGTAGTCATTAGAACCAGTGGCATAATAGTACGATTAGTTTACCTCCGCACCTGAAAACGAGTGGCGACTGTTCGAGCCTCGGTGCCTGTTCACTTTTTTAAACTTTTTGTTCTTAAGTCAGGATATTTTTTTTCATTCTGTTACTTTAAAATTATTGCAAAAAGATACAATATGTAATTAAATAAAAAAATCATTAGTTTTCAAAAGATTATTTATTTATATATCAACCTTTAAAACAAACTAAACATTAAAAATAAACACATTTAAGTTGAACAAGTTTTACAATTTGTTCTTGTTGGTTATAGAGGTTTACAGTTTAATTTGTTCCTGTTCTCAAGGCAAAGAAGATTGAAACTTAACCTCCATATTCCAATCATAAACTAACTTATTACTATTACAGCCAGCGCATCCCCTAAATTACCCTTTTGTTTTTTTTTTTTTTTTCGTGCGGAAATCCCCTCGGATACCACCTGTCGGTGGCATGTCGGACTCGAACCGACTAAAACCCCACGCCGTCTCGGGTACTAATAGCCGGGGAACCAGGTATACCCTAGAAAGGAAGTCCCTGGTACCCCGACATACCTCGGGTCATCTACAGACGAGTAGACGACCCCCCCCGTGTGGGAACCCCATGTTCCCGGTGCTCCCTGGAAGCGAGCGCGCTTCGCAACGCGCTTGCCGCCACCCCGGCCTGCTTCTGCTAGGGTGACAGATGGCCTCACCTGTCACCCCCAGGCCTGCGCTTATGGAGAACGGAGGTCGTTCTGCGACCACCGGCGCCTGAGTCGCCTGCGGTACCTGGCCCGTTCCCGGGCCTGGCGGGCCGGGAGAGTCCTAAACCTCTCCCGGTCCCGCTCCGCCGCCTCCTTCGCGAGCATAACTTGCTCGCAGAAGGAGACGGCAGAGTTCCACGCACTCTCGCTCCGCACGATAGCCTCAATCAGGCTATCGAGCGAGAGAACTCCCACTCCGATGGCCGCCACAAGGTCTCGCCTCTGCTCAACCCACGCCGGGCACTCTGCCAGCGTGTGGAGAGCCGTGTCCACGGTCTAGCCATCGCAGTGGTGGCACTCAGGCGTTGGCTCCTTGCGGATCAGACACAGGTGATCCCCGAAACATCCTTTCCCAGTGATCACCTGCGTCAGTCGGTATGAGAGGGTCCCGTGACGCCTCTCGAGCCAATCCTCCATAACGGGTCTTACCGCCGCGATGACGGCGTGCCCGGCGCTCGGTTGCCCGAGTCGTTCACTCCACTCCCCTATGATGACCTGGCGGAGTTGGGCTTTCCGGTCATCGATTTCTCGAATCTCGGGGCACCGACCCAACTCTCGCGCCTCCTTGCGCCACTGATACAGAGCCGCAAGGGCTCTCGCCTCCAGGTCCCACGGTGGAGTTCCGCCCCTAAATTGCCCTAAGAAAAAGGTATTTCTATTTAAATATAATATTTATTTTTATTAATACTCAGTGTGACCTCCATTGTTTATAATACAACTAATATAGTATAAGACGTATTAAAAACCATACGTTTTCTATACTGTTTAGATCATGGGATCGCACTGGCCATGGAGTAACCATAACATTC